GGAGGTGGTATCTCACGACACAAACCCCCTCACCCATGACTGCTACAAGGGGATGGGGGGTGGTATCTCACGTCACAACCCCCTCACCCATGACTGCTACATGTCCGCATGCCTCGGGGTGCCCCCCGAGCTCTGGGCGTCTTTCTGCGAGTACGAAAACGGGTCGTACGCCGCTATCCGGCTAGCGACGATGCCCTCCGCCGCGCCCATGCTGAACCCGCCGCCCCCACCCGGCCTCTCGCCGAAAGCGGTGCTGCCGCTGCTGCGACCGTCCTCGCCAGCCTCGTCGCTGTTGAAGACGCCCGCGCCGCCGCTGGCCCTCCCGGCGGACGACCTCCGGCCATCCGTCGCAATCGACGGTCTTCCTCCTGCTCCTCCGATCCTACCGCTGCCGGTGGAGGCGGCGGAGGCGCCGCGGGCATCGCGAGCGCCGTCGATGGTGGTTCTGTCGGCGGCGGCGGCGGCGGCTCCCGCTGGTCGCCTCAGTATTCGGGGAAGCTCGGCTGACTCCTGCCCCACCGCTGCTGGTGTCGTCGTTGTTTGCAAGCGCGCATCAAAAAAAAAAAAAGAGAAAAAAAAGGGGGCCATGGAGGGGTGAGAGGGATCAATTAGCAACAAGAATGATAGAAAGGCATACAAGGACCTGGAGTATACAGTATGGAGTACAAAAGAAATATGCAGATGGCCAAGCACGTTGTCCATTTTAGGAAACAACAGTATGGAGGTGAGGGATCAATTAACAACAAGATAGATAAAGAGGCAAACAAGGACCAGGAGTTTATGAACATGAAAGAATATGGCCAAGCACGCTGTCCATTTTATGATACAAGAGTACTCGGGGAAGGCCGGCCAACGCTTGCCCCGCTGCTGTTGTTTTTGACAAACACGCAAGCATCAAAAAGCGACACAGAAGTATTCTAAGATCTCAACAAAAACATGTCTAAACATATTCCCTGATGCAAGAGAAAATATGGATCAAATACAAGGAGTAATCTCAAACAATACAAAACACATGGCAAAGCAGGTTCTCCGTTTCACGGTAGAGCAACACCATATCAATCAGGCGACACGGAGGTGGGTATCAATCAATAACGTCTTCGCATACGCGCGTCCGCATCTCGCTGACATCACCTTAAAAAACCGTTCCGGTCTCCTCTCAGTACCTTCTAATGTCCGTACTGGTCCAAATGACGCGGACCCACAAGCCACCTGCCCCCCAAGGGGGGTAAATCTTTCTAAAAATATACAATAGTCTAGCCTCGATTGAGTACATTACACGTTTGCAGGCCTATGCACGTATACGTGGAAGCACATCACACATGTGTCACGGTTCCTCCAAAACAAAGCGCTATATACCTGTGTGAATGTATGGTTGCATTTTCAGCATCCACCGCGCTAACCGGCCGTCCAATGAAAAGACGTCAGTTTCAGTGCGGTTGAAAACACAAAACACGTCAAAGTGCCATTAACTCAGTTTGTGTGAGGGCGCTGTCAAAAAAACAAAAAAGGGTCTCACCATTGTCATTCCGCCTCCCTTGCGCTTCTCCTCCGACGCCCACCGCCGACTCAAGCTCCATCTCCACATCCCCATCCTCGTCCTCATGCTTCTCCCCCATTGCCGCTGCTCTCCTGTCTGCGGGGGACGACGTGCCTCCCCTCTGCTGCTGCGGCGGAGGGGACTGCGACCCTCCCTTCCTCGACCCCTGCGGCGGGTTCGACCCTCCCCTACCGCCCGCCGGCGGCGATAAAGAGAAGCTCACCCCCCGTTCCCCCTGGGACCCCGCTTTCCCGGTAGGGGGCGGGCTCCTCTCCGCCCCTCTGGTCTCCCCCGCCACCCCCACACCCCCGGCGGCGGGAGACCTGCCCGCAGGCCGCCCGGCGGCGACCCCTCCCACCACCACATCCGTCGAGACCCTCTTGTCGCGGGAGGGTCGGGGCTGGCTCTGGTACTGGTCCGGGGTCGGCTTGTAACCACTGCCACCTCCCCCACGGAGCCCCCCCCCCCCACCGCCGCCGACTGCAGCGGGGTCAACAACACCAGTAGTGTCACCCTCCAAGTCGCCCTCCTTGCCGGCGTATTGCCCCTCCGCGAACTCTCTCACTCGCTCGCGAGGCTTACGTTGTGACTGCTGCTGGTGCTGCTGGTCTCCACGGCGTGTGGCTGATCTCTCGCGCGGAATGCCGCCACCATTAGCATCGCGATGGCCGTTGGTAGGAGCGGCGCCGCGGCGCGAGCCTTTCCCTCCGCTGCCAGCAGGCGCCTCCTGCGGATGCTGAGTTAGTTAAGGCGGGGTGGGGACGGGGGGGGGGGGGGGGGTTCGCACAAGATAGAAAAATATAATAAAACCTCACCAATACATCATTACCCCTACTGCTGTCTAATGCCCATATTACAAATCTGCGGGCTGCCAGCCTATTCGTACGAAATGGGAGAGTCTCCAACCTAACTTGATACAGAAAATAACACCATATCTGTCTCAAAAGGGGAGTCGACGCGCTGGGCGCCGCTTGTCTTTCCA